AGACTTTCTCAGACACAAGTGTTTGTCCTCTGCAAGCACACACATTTATCTAATTAAGGTACCGAGAACCAGCGGGCCTGTAGACCGCAAAGGAGAGTGAGATGATATTTGTTGTCAGCTGATTAAATATTCATTTCAGCTATTTTGGCAGATGTAACTCTCACCATAGTGAAGGGTAACGAAAACGGGACATCGAAGTGCCTCAAAGGTTTTGTTGATGGGACAAGAAAAGGCTTTTAGAAAATGAAGGGGATATTGAGCTCAGTCGCTCTGTCTGCTGTTCAAAGTGGAGCTAAAGTGAGGGCAGAGAACTAAAATCTTCATATATGCAAAGACATAAATATGCTTCCAGTTGTTATTCTATAGTGGATTCATGAGTTTCCATCTTCAGTCCTTTGGAGATTAAAATGCCTCTCCAGTACATCATGAACCTCTGCAAATGCATGGTAACAAGTTTCTTTTATTGAATTTAGTTGAAATATCTGAAACATTAAGGACACAAAAAAAGTCTTCTATCCACTGTCCTCTTCTATGCAGAGATTAGAGGTTACTGGCACACTAACCTGCAGTTTTTAGATGTTTCTCTGCTTTAACATACCTGTTTAAGATGCCTGCAGTTTAGCAAAGTCTGGTAAACCCCCACCTATGGAAATTAGCTGTACTGAAGCTGGAAAACGTGCCGGAGCAGACATGGAAAACACTGCTCTACATCAACCTTTCCCTAGATGACGGAGATCCTCACTTTGTCTGTAATGGTGAGTCCAGGGACCCTACATGGGAAGCTAATTTTAGCTGCATGGTGCTGATGTATGGCATTCTAGTCATAATCCAGACTTTCTAACCTTGAAGGAATGTTGGAATTTGAACAGACTATTAAATGAGGATCTTTAGAGATCAGGATAGAGATCTGTTCGCCCTGTTACAGAGCAAAGTAATGTTTGTATTATGTCAAATGATGCTCCTATCAGCCTGTGTCTCCTAAATTATAGCTGGTGATAAAGAACTAGATTATTTCATTTTTAATGGTTTAAAGATGCCAACAACAGCATGCGATAAAGAACATCCTCTCCACATCCTGACTGTTGCTACCAATATAAAAGATAGCAATGGGCCACCCTGGCATAGTCAAAAATGCACATGGGAGAATCTTAGTTCAAGGAATAGAGGCACAGCCTTTGGTTTGATCATTAAAACCAACAAAAAACAAAACAAAACAAAAAAAACCCTGCATGCTTCTTAAAGGCTTCCATTGCACCAGTTACTCCTGCTGCAACCTCTGGTTTAGAGGACACATTTGTAAGCCTCTTCCAGAGCCATACAACACATGTGGAATGGACAACCAACCTGCAATGATCCTCTCAGCAACCTTAAGTAGTTTTAGAAAGTAAATTAGTTCTTGGGTGTATCTTGCTCTCATCAACTGCAACCTGCGCTTTGTCATTATTTAAGTTCTTCACACAGAAATACAAGAAACATAAACAAAGATATCCCATAATATATTTAATGTTATTGGGTTCCTTGACTTTCTCTGTCTTGTATTCTTTTCTCCTATTTTATTACCTCCTAAAAAAAAAACTGTCCATTATGCATTATTTCAATTAACTCACATTCAAAATACTTACCGTATATTACCTCACTTTATTAGTCCCCCCCACCAAAATCATCTCAAAAATTAAACCCATGTTTCTCACAGCAACCCAACACAACAAAAACAAAGACCAAAACATTTAAATATGCATATATGGGAACGGCATGGTAAATTCTGAGTGGCTCTCATGAGGCTTTACAAACCTGGCAATAAACGAATATATCTGATTGTGTGGATTCCAGTTATTAACAAAATAAACTTTAACGTTTGGAGAACATATGTTAACACATGTTAACCTGTTTCAAGAACAAACTGAGGATTGTAATGGTACCGCATATTTATAAACAATGGCTGTTTAAACCTGCTAGTTTTAACTATGACAACAAAGTGATAAAAAAAAAAAAAAAACTTCATCCACAGATATTTTGACCAATGATCCATTACAGATAATGTATAAATGTTCATAAGAGGCAAAGAAAGAGGCCAAACAGCGACTTTAGTTTATTCTCTTTATTAAAGAAGCAAACAAAAAAACACAAACCAAATACCACTGATCGCAACATATTCTTGACTTGTACTGCATGCTGTGTGTTAAGGCACATGCACCTTGGAGAGTGACGAGTAAACTCACATGCAGACAAACAGTCTTGTATTTAGAACCCAAAAGGCAATGACTTCCAAAACACTTTGATGTATCCATGTTAAATCTGTCTTATAATAGATGCCAGGAGCACTGCTAAAATATAAAGCTTTTAGAGGTCTATGTCTTAATAAATCGTACATCTATCCACAATTTAGTCTTTATTTCAATGATATTAAATAGGTATAAAGAAAATCTGAACAGTGGTAAGACTGGAGAAAGAATTTTAGTAGGATTTACACTTTGTAAATTATATCGATTTCAATTTTAAACCTAAAGTATGTAAATAATTTAAATAACAGAAATCAAACTACCCATAATCAGCACTTAATAAAACACATTTTCCTTTTCCACACATTAAAGGTTTACCGTTACTGTAAACCTTTTAAAAACAATTAGAACAGTGGAGCAGCAGATTCTGGCTCAGGAAAATCTGATGACTTTGTTGTTTGCCGTTTTGAAAGTTTCAGACAATAAAACAGAAAGGAACATTAGCTTCAACGTATTTCACTTCAGCAACGTTAGCCTTCTGTCGGTTTTCTCCAGTGATTTAGACTGTTTTTTTTGTAAGCGTTTGAGCAGAACTCAACAGGTTTTTCATCTAATTCAGTAATACTAATGAGAATATTTTCAGGATTTGTCCTTTTTCCTGTACAGTCACAAAAAAATTGAATGATGATCAGAAAAAGGAAGCAGTGCATTCAGTGTAAAACCACAGGATGAAATAAGAATCCCTTTAGCTTGCAACACAAAAAAATGTGTCTTATTACAGAAAATGATGGCATCCAAAGAAGAAGCTCAGTTAATTACAGCATTCAGCTGAAGGGATTCCCTCATTTAACTAACAGCAAAGCTGAAATGCTAGCGCTCACACAGCTGAATGCTTCTCATTCAGTCTGTGGAACGTCTCTAAACATCTACAGCAGGTTCTCATTGTCATTATTTACACCCCTGAGGAGTTTGATGACCTGAGAAGCTTGTTTTACTCACAGTAACTAAAGGCTTCCACCTTTCTGCCTGTGTCAGCTCTAAACCTATGTAACAAAAATATACTCGTCCCTTATTTTATTTCTATTCACTTTCTTTGAGCTAGATGAAAAGTAGATATGTCTGAAATGCTGGAAAAGCTTAGGAATGTCACAAGTAAAGCTGAATTTGTTCTAGAAAGAGGCCTTTTGGCAGCTGTTAAAAGTAGAAAAAAAAAATCTTATTTTAATTTGTTTGGTTAATTTGTCAATCTAGTTACCGTTTCATGTGTAGTTGGGAATTACAATACATTAATGGACTGAATAAATGAAGCAAAAAAATATTAAGGACACTGGTGGTTAAAACAAGGCAAAAACATGATCAAAATACTCCCTCAAAACGGTTTGTATGCGAAACATAAAAACCACAAACTTTGAATTGTTCTCAAATATTACATCCACGCCTGAACCTTGAGGTAAGTACAGCCTAAACTCTTTATTTTTTCCAGGAGTCTTTAATGATGACCTAAAAGGAAATAAGCAACAAAAATGTCTCCACTCTGATTGAATCCCTTTATATTATAAATGTGAGGCATAAAGCGGAGTTAATAATTTCTAACGCTTCAATCATAAATGTGAATAAATCTTCCAAGGCTCTAAAACAGGTTGTAGAAAATCGAAATTCAATTACTGAAAAATTATATATTAAATTATAATTTGGATTTGTGAAGTAATAATTGCTCATTTGTGTAAACTTTTAAAAATGCTCCATTTGTTTTGTTTTTTCAGTGTTCTAAACTTAATACTGATCAAAGTACTGATATAATTTTTAATTTAGTTTTGTGTTTTTGTGTTAACTTTAATGATCTTCAGATCTTTTAAGATTCAGAGAAGGAATGTCTACAAAAGGCAACAGTGGACAAACAAACAGCTCTGCCATAGTTGCACAGATATCCAGAACATCAACTTGACCAAAGTGCTATGAACCCCAGAGGGATGCAGACATTTAACATGTGATAGAAAACATGCAATCCTAATGATGAGGTTGCACATTAACCTAAAATTCTGCAGCTTGAAGTCTCAGATGGACATGCACCAGCTGCTCTGGTGAAAAAAAGAAGGCAACATCACCATCATCAAACACAATACATATCTGTGAGAAAAAAAACAGCAAAGAAGCCTGAAAATCCTACGGATTCCTTTAGAATATTGTTGCCGTTATCTGTCTTAAGAAAATGGAAATCAGCCTTTCCTGTTTAAGATAATCTAACATTTAAATCCAGGGCTGAGAGTAAAATTACTAACGTACCGATTTAAGGAAACTGAGGGAGAAAAATCCAAACATTACACTGAGGAATAAAAGAGAAACCTTTTAAACTAATTTCTTCTGGGCTCTGAATTTGTTACAGCAGTTTCTAAAGGCCTCAAGCTGGTTTAGATCCATATTAAACTTTGACATGTAAACTGATCAACCTGTGTCATAGGGAAGGCAGTCATGTGCTGGTCTTAACTCATTAAATCTCTGTGTTCTGCGTTTTGTGCTTTTTCATTATTAAAGAGGAAAGTTATTTGATCTATTTCTTGTTTTTCCAGACAGGAGTAGAAACACTCACATGTAGCAGCAGCCATTTTCCAGCATAGAGGAAGCCCTCAATAAGAGCACCTGCTGACAAACCAAAAACCTAAAGGTTGTTAATGGTTTGACCGCAGTCACT